ATGACAAGAGATGGACAAGCAACAAGCAAGAGCGAGAGGCAACGGGTGAGGCGGATGGGCAAGTCAGGCGAGAAAACCACACCGGGGGGTAGAAAAACACAAAGGAGAATCCGAAGTAGCTGCTCGGCGCAAGACAAAAAGAGGCTTGGACACGATAGAGGAGCCGAACCGGTGAAGCCTAATCCGATGTGGACCAGCGAGTCAAGGGAAACAAGAGAAGGCGAACCTAGCCAAGGTAGAGACAACCGGAGGCAAAACAACCGAATCCATACTCGTGGAATCTACAAGCTCGGCAGAAGTGAGTACACCAAACCAACGAGACATATCAAGCCGACCAAGGCCGGGACACCCATAGCGCAAAACGGTAAGACCAACGAGCAGTAGAGGCCAAGGAGCAAAAGGCGCCCAAAACAAACCGAAGCCAACCAAACCAAAAGCCAAAGGCCACACAAACAATCAAGTAGACCTACAATTAAACTCGAAAAAAGGGTAAGCCACCAGCAGAGGCAAGCTCAACCAACTCCAATCATCACCGAGCAGAGGCCCGGGATCAAACACAAAGGAACATCCGAAGAAGCCGCTCGGCGCAAGACAAAAAAGAGGCTTGGACATAATAGAGGAGCTAGACCGGTGAAGCCTAATCCGATGTGGACCAATAGTTACGGGAACAAGAGAAGGCGGACTAATCGAGCTAGCCAAGGTAGAGACAACCGGAGGCGAAACACCGAATCCATACCGTGGAATCTACTAGCTCGGCAGAAGTGAGGGGCCGGCGAAGCGGGAGGAACAACGGCTAGCGGAGCAGGAGCATCGAGTCAGGCGGGGAGATAGGCTAGGCGGGAAGAATGGGGCAAGGCCTAATTCATGAGTAGGCCAACCCAACGGACAAATCAAGCCGGCCAAGATTGGGTCACCCATAGCGTAAAACAAGTAAGACCAACGAGCAGTAGAGGCCAAGGAGCAGAAGCCACCCAAAACAATCCGAAGCCAACCAAACCAAAAGCCGAGCCCACACAAAACAACCCATATCCAACCAAACCGAAGCCAACCAAACCAAAAGCCGGAGGCCACACAAACAATCAAGCGGACCTACAATCAAACCCGAAAAAGGTGGTAAGCCACCGAGCAGAGGCAAGCTCAACCAACTCTAATCATCGCAGCAGAGGCCGATGGCGCAGTCAGTAAAGAACCAAGAGGGAGTAGACAGGCCCAAAAGAGGAGCTACCCTTGATCGTAACATAGCGCCACAACCACCAACTCAAAACAGACAAGAGGAGTCAAGCAACCCAAGAAGACCCGAACCCAAAGGACCAAAAAGAAGCAATCTATCCGGATAGTACTCGAGCCCTCAAATAGGAGATCAAGGCACACCCACGGATAAGAGTCGGGGGTCTAATTCATGAAAGTAGAAAACCGTGTAGAAGATTATCCGGAATTTACAAAACACATTGGTTGTCATGCTCGGCTAAGGCATCAAAGGCACACCTATTTCGCTCTTCCCGGATGACATAAACTGTGATACCAAGGGCCACTCTCCTCATTTTCGCTTCAAGGTTGTTACGACAACAAGATAGGCCTCCGATCGCACTAGTAAGTGTATGCATACCCTCGCGGATTCGGAGCCATTGCTTGATTTCCAACCACGAGTTGGTCGTCCAAGAGCGGGAGAAGAACAAGTGGTGAATGGACTCGGAGGCTTGATCACAAAGGAGGGATACGTCGGTGGTGGGTAGAAACCGGAGACGGTCCTTAGTTTTTAAGGCGCCCCTAACAACTAGCCGTAAAATAAAGGAATGCCAAGGCGGGGACCATGACTCCCAAATCACCCTACCCCAGAGCACACGTGCACCGCAACTTGCCAAAGCCTTGTATAGGCGGTATTAGAGAAATTTCCTTCTCCCGAGTTCCACCTAGCAAGCTCGCATATAGCTGCATCTTTACTTGCATATTTCATGACAAGCAAGTCTTTCACATGAAGAATGGCTTTCCACAATGGTGAAGCTTTGCAGTAGGCGAAGCATCCCATACTTGGTAGCCTTCCAAGTAGAAGCGGTGGATCCAATTGATCCAAATAGAGTCAACCTTGAGGTGTATGTCCCGCAGCCTTTTGACCAAAAAGCTTTGGTTTTTCACTTTGATATCAAATACCCCAAGGCCCCCTCGGATTTAGGGGAACAAAGGCTCGCCAAGCCACTAAAGCCGAAGAGCACCTATTGACATCTCCCGTCCATAAAAAATTTCGACACATACCGGTGATTCGTGTAATGACCACAAGCGAGCATAGGAAAAATAGCGAGCCGAATTGTATCATGTCGAAGAGGATGGATCCGAGAGCTCTAGGTGGATCGCATAGGATAGATGTTTTCCCATCTAGCTCCGGATCGATGAATCGAGACTATGTAGCAAAGGAGCAAACCGGCTAGAGAGCGGGCGATGAGGGCTAAGAGGGACCCCTAGGTATTTGAAGGGGAAAGAACCTTCACAAAACCTAGTTTCTCGAAGGATGGATTCTTTTAAATCGCTTCGACCCCACCAAAAAAGATGGAGGACTTAGCCACATTGATGGCTAGGCCGAAACACTCTCAAAGATAAGCAACCGGCCGGTCGAATCTTGATGGAGGCGGCATCGGCACGGCTAAGTAACAAGACGTCATCCGCGAATGCTAGGTGGGTGATGGCATGGGCCCGCACCGAGGATGGAAGCGAAAATCGAATTCCGAGTAGCAATCTTCGCAGGCAAGAGAAGTATTCCATGCATACCGAAATAGGTAGGGAGAGAGGGGGTCACCTTGCCTAACCCTAGCCTTACCCGAGAAGAAACCTAACAAGCCCTCGTTGACCGAGATGGAGTAGGAGGCTGATTCAACACATGTCATAATCCAACCAACAAATCTGTCCGAGAAACCTAATTTTAATAAGAGCTATTTTAGGAAATCCCATCGCACAGAGTCAAAGGCCTTATGGAAATCAATCTTCATTAGGCATCTCGAGGAAGCACGTTTCCGACCATACATGCGAAGTAACTCCTATACCAAACAAATATTGTCCGACATTTTCTAACCCCCAAGGTAGGCATTCCGCATAGGATCGACTATATCCATTAGTGCCAAGGATAGCCGAGAGGAGATGATCTTGGTGATGACCTTATAGACGACATTACGAGCACGAGATTGGCCTAAAGTCATTTGGCACGGTAGCATTGGTCGTTTTTGGGACCAAAGTTACAACAGAGTGGCCAACTTGTTTAAGGAGTCGCCTAGATACAAAAAAGTCTTGAACCGTCGCACAAAAATCTTGTCCAACAATCTCCTAAGCCTCGTTTGAAGAAGAAAGACAAATATCCATCGTGGCCCGTGCCTTGTCATTGTCTATGCTCGAAGAGTGTCTTCTTAATGAGGTCCATCGAGACCGAGGAGAGAAGCCGATCATGGCCGGCCGTATGTAGGCAAGGCCCACTAGCAACAATCTGCGAGTCAAGGGGCACCGTAGCTTTGGTGAAACCTAAGAGGTTGTGATAGTAGGAGACAAACTCCTCTCCGACTTCGCGATAGAGGTAGTGAGTCGCCCATCACCAATATGAAGAGCAAGCAATATAGTTGGCTTTATGCTTGTGGTTCATGATCCGATGAAAGAAACTAATGCCTTTGTCGTAATCCTTAAGAAATTTGCACTTTAATTTCCGACCAAAGAACATCTTTTCCGAAGCTATGAGGTTAGCCAAATGGAGCCGAGTCTTTTTTCCGTCCGACTAAGCTCCAAGTTATCTCTATCCGAGTGAAGCTCGAACCGTATGGTAGCCAAATCGGATTCAGCCCTAGTTACCCTTTGGGAGATGTGGCTGAAATGCGAGTCCGTTCGGTTGCTTAAGAGGCTCTTTGAGTGATTTCAATTTGCGACAGAGTATATACATTAGGGTGCCACCGAACCTAGCATCCCAACCGTCGACAACGAGTTCGTAGAAAAGCATCATGGACAGCCCACATATTAAAGAATTTGAAGCTACGGGTTCCGGAAGAAGCACGGGGGCCCAAATGTACCAATATCGGAGAGTGGTTCGAAAAAGCGCCGGGGGCCAAAATGAACATGAACGGGCTACTCGGAGGAGGACCATAAAGGGTTGGCCGAACTCGTCGATTTTTGTCTATACATCGACCTCATGCCAAGTAAAATGGCACCCCATGTAGTTAAGGTCCGAGTAGGCCAAGATCGGAGCAAGTAACTTCGAAGTCCGCAGTTTCGTAGTGGGAGACAAGCAGTATCCCTATGCTTGTCGGCTTGTGATAAAATAGAATTAAAGTCTCCCGGAATGAGCCAAGGGCGGTGTCGGCTACCAATGACAAAGATCAGCCCACAACTCTCTTCTCGGCGATAACTGAGTGTAACCCGTAGCCAAAGTAACATTGAAAGTCGACTGCCGCATAAGGTCGCTTACGCTAACATTGACACCTTGGATAGAGACATTCAACAAAGTAACCGATACGGTTCTTGGATCCCGGAAGAGTGCAATACGGGCGGTTCCCGCTACCATAGCATTGGACATGAAGTTCCAATGCTTGAGTCTAAGTCGGTACATATTGACAAGCCTAGCAGAACTTAGTTTAGTTTCAACAAAGGCACACACATCGACCTTATTTTTCTTCATGAGACACACTGCCTCATGTTGTTTCGAGGGACTATTAAGCCCTCTAATATTCCAGCTATAGATAATCATGGATGAGCAGAAGAGGCCGACCCTCTTCGACCCCCGCTTCCGCCCATTGCTACTCCTCCGCCGTGCCGTCGGCCTAGGTGAAGTCGTCGTTACCATCCGTTCTTCTTGTCCGATCGGAGGGTCCGGAATGGTGTCCCTAGGGGAAGTAGGAACTGCCAAGCATTCAGCTTTCTTGTTAGAAACGACTCTCGTGATGGGAGGCCCGGACGTGCCACTATTAAGTCTATCGGTAGAGCCATTTGCATAAGTAGTTTGATGAGTTCTGTCTCCGGCACGATGGCCCCGTTGTCCGCCTTGGTCAACAATGTGGCTACTCGGCCCAGCTTGTATCCCCGTTGCTCGCAACCGACCAACCCGGATAGAACCTCAATTGGCTTAGTGTGAGAAGGGGACACTCGGGCCTATGGTAGCCGGAACGAGTGGCAAAATCAACCATAACATGTTTACCTTTATCACCGGCTCGACATGGGTTTGTTTTGGTCCTCACCGTCACCAACTCGGCAGCTTCTTGTAGCATGAGATCAAGAGATAAGGGGACTTGCAGGCAGAGGGAGTGGACTATGGATAGGCTCGGCATGGCAAAGTCACCCGGACGTTGAAAAACACTAATTCTAGCTCGCCCATCAGCAGTCGCACCGCCATTTATGGGAGCCTTACTCGAATCCCGAGGTGGCTAAGTTTTGCATGCTACTATGGAATGCCCAAGAGTTCGACAGCTTTTGCAATGGATGGGAAGAGACTCATAGACCACCGGCTACACGAGGGTGGTGCTTATTCGATAAAAGGATGCCGACCATCCGAGGGAGGGATTCCATAATATTGAGTTCAACAAGGACCCAAGTATAGGAAAGTCTCGTCCATGGAAGCGAGTTAAACGGTCACATTGAAGAGGCTTACCTAGCGGACTAGCAATCTTAGATAAACATGCAGTGGACCAACATTTAAGCGACGGATTGGGGAGTTTAATCCAAACGAGGACGAGTAGCCATCTCGGATATGGAGAAATCAAAGTATTCCGACATTGGACGCAAAATTAAAGCATGCCCATAAATCG